AAACATTCACAATTTTTTCACAAGTGTCGATATCGGCCGGGTTTATAATATAGTTAGCATATTCTCTTAAAAAAGCGGGAAAATGGTTTTTATATCTAATAAGCACTTTAATTAAATTATAAGTACTATTCCAACGAATAGACAAATCTTTAGGAAAAGCACAATATTTGACACGTCTTTCTTTCAAATAATTTCTCCATTGCATCTTAAGTGGATTACTAGCCCAAATCAGTTTAATCCCCCCCTTGACCACCTCCAAAGCATCTCCCAACGCCGCAAGACCGTCCTTTACACATAAATTTAAAATATGACATGCACAACGCTGATGAAAAAACCTACCCATCAAAGAAGATGAACCACACAATTCACGCAATCTAGGAATAGCCGCAGTATTATTAGTAGCATTATCAAAACCAATAGCAAACACCTTATCAATCAAATTATACTCAACTAAAATACGCTCAATGAGAATATAAATATTATCGCCGGTGTGTCGATCATTAAATTCACGAAAAGCAAGAACACGTTTATGCATACACCAATCATCATCAATATAATGTGCAGTCAAACCCAAATAATATAAATGATGATGAGTATCCTCCCATATATCACTACATATGCTAACACGGCCATCAAAGTTTGCGAAAAATATTTGTAATTTTTCCTTTTCCAAAACATATTGCCTTATAACTTCTTTTTTAATTGTTTTGCGACTATAGTTTCGAAATTGAGGATTTAAAGTACCTTGAGCATATTCTTTTAAAGCAAGACTTTCGGAAAAAATAAAAGGCAAATTTTCTTCAACAATCAAATGTGACATACCAGTCAAATGTCTTTGATCATCATAGGAGAAATTACCGAAGGGTTGGCCACTTCCAAATCTTGAAATTTGTGTTTGCTTTCCCTTGCCTTTGTCTGATTTCGCATATTCCGCCGGGTGCTTGGCCTTAAGATGCCTTGTGGCGCTCCCGTACCCTCCAGAAGTTCCCAAGTTATACTTCTTTGGGCAATGCTTGCAAGTGGCGTACCATATCTCGGTTTGGGGGTCTTTAAATTTTGTAAAATTTGCCTTAAAGACTGATTCAGCTTTCTCACCGCCTTGGGAAGAAGTAGCCACTTCCGCTTGCTCTTCATCATCGTACGGTGTGCCATGAACCTCGTGCTCGACCGTTTGCGGATCCCTCTCCTCCGCATCATCATCCTCGAGCTCTTCTTCGTCAATGGTCGGGATGTTTTGTTGATGGAAGAAGGCCCCTTGATTTTGTTGTAATAGTTGTTCTACTTGCTCATCGGACATCGCAGACCCATATCTTTGGTTATAATCCGCATCAAAATCATCTCGGGTTTGAGATGAAGCCCCGGCCCGTCCCTTACCTTTCTGCAAGCTTGGATGATTCCTCGCAATCTCCTTTGTTCGGTTGCGGCGGAGGTTACCCATATCTACTGAAGCTCTACCACGTTCCATCTTAAAAATATAACAAATATTAAATTCGAAGTACAATTAAACTAGTGAATTTCAAATACAAATCTAACAAATCGAACTACAATGTAACAATTAAATTCGAACAATTAAATTGACTAGAATGTAACAATTAAAATGTACCAATTAAATTAACTTTTATTATAAAATTTGAACAACTTCAATATAAATAACAATTAACTAGTTCAATAGGAGAAATTTTAACTAGACATTAAATGTAACAATGCAATGAAATTTAGAGGAGAATAATAAATGTAACAATGAATTAACTATTTTGATAGGAGAAATTTAACTACTTTTATATTAAGTGTATAAGTAGATAAAGTAAATATATATATTTAAAAGTAGATAATAAGTAGATTAACTAGTAATATATAATATTATGTTTATAGTATATATAATATAAATATATGACTATAAGATGAGGAATACACTTAATATATTAAGTAGATAAATTTTCGAACAACTATAATATAATTAACAATTAACTAGTTTGATAGGAGAATAATAAATGTAACAATTAACTAGTATTAGAGGAGATTAAGAAATGTAACAATTAACTAGTTTAACAAGTAAACAATTAATTTCGAATTCTTGTCTAACAAATTTTAATGTAACTATTTCCAATAAACTAACAACTACCAATTAACCACTTATATAGCAATGAACTAATACTAAAAGTCTAAAATGATAAGTGAAACAATTAACAACTTTTATATTAATGAAGAATGTATTAGTGTGTAAACAAAATTAATGGGAATGTTTGATAGGAGAATAATAAATGTAACAATTAACTAGTATTAGAGGAGATTAAGAAATGTAACAATTAACTAGTTTAACAAGTAAACAATTAATTTCGAATTCTTGTCTAACAATTTTTAATGTAACTATTTCCAATAAACTAACAACTACCAATTAACCACTTTTATAGCAATGAACTAATACTAAAAGTCTAAAATGATAAGTGAAACAATTAACAACTTTTATATTAATGAAGAATGTATTAGTGTGTAAACAAAATTAATAAGTAGATAATATTATGTTGATAGTATATATAATATAAGATGACTAACAAGATGACTAACACACTTATATATGTAGTAAATATATATTTATAAGTAGATAATAAGTAGATAATATTATGTTAATATTACTACAAGATGACTAACACACTTATATATTATACTTTAATATATAAGTATATTACTATAAGTTGAGTAATACACTTATATATTATACTTTAATATATGTATAACTAATATAAGTATATATTAAGTATATGTAATATGTGAATATAAGTAAATAAATATACTTATATAAGTAACAATAATATAATAATTAGATATTAATATAAGTAGATAATAAATTATATAAATATAATATATGTAGTAATAAATTTGAGAAATTGAGAAGATGAAGATGGGAAAGATTAATAGAGAATAGAGATTAGAGATTTAGAGAGTAGAGATATTTGGAGAAGATGTGTAGTAAAGTGTATAGAAAAAATGGAGTATTTATAGATATTTAGTACCCCACCCCCACCCCCCACCCCCCCCACCCCCCACCCCCCAACCCGGGACCCCCTGGAAGGCTCCCAACGGCTATAGAGCCGTTTGGGTTGAAAGCCAACGGCCATAAGGCCTGTTTGGCTGAAAAACAAAATTTTTTTTTTTTTTTAAAAAGTAACCGTTAGGCCCGACCCGGGCCCGAACCGGCCGGGCCGGGCCACCAAACAAATGAACCGGACCCGAACCGCCAAACCCCCCCGGGCCGGGTCAAAGCCCGAACCGGTTCACCAGTCCCGGTTCCGGGCCGGGCCTGCACAGTGGCGGGCCGGGCCGGTTCCGGGCCGGGCCGGCCCGGTTGAGTCCATCCCTACATGAACCCAAGGCGTAGCCAGGAGTGACAGGGGCCATATTGAATGGTAAAATTATATTCGCATTGTCCATTAAAATTTGAAAACATTTTTTTGAATGTTTCCCACTAACTTTCTTACTTTCCATTTTAAACAAAAAATTTGTGGTTTCAATCAATTTCATCTCCTCTGCACAAACCTATCACACTGTTTTTACCTTATTAGTTCTCGTGTCAGTTAAACTTGATAACGTTTTAATTGATGGAGGGAGTATCCTACAAGGCTCGAACCGGCCATACCTTCAACATGTTACAACCTGAATATTTTTCTAACATATTGGAATCTTAAAGTTGCGATCATAATTGTTGTGCGGGCTGCACCAGTGCTTCGACCATTTCCATTATCCAGATGTCAAGGGATAGGTTTGAGGAAAAAAATGTGATGATCAAAGTATATAATTGTTGCGAGTGATTACCTTCCGTGCTACAAATCCGCTAGGTTTGGGGGAAAATGCGATGATCGAAGTATAATTGATGCGTGTGATTACCTTCCGTGCTACAAATCGTTCTGATTATTCGTAGAAGATATCCAAAAGGATGTCTTCTTTGAAGACAATTACAGAATCCTATGGATAATCTTTACAAGAGTCTCGTTCCTATCAGGAGCTCCTGAAGAAAAGCTCCGTGCGGACAAGACCATCAGAGGGTCTCCCCAGTGAAATTTTTTGATGAAATTTTGTGATAGTTACTCATAAAGTCTAGTTTATTGATACCAAATTTCAGCTCAAAATTCGATCTGGAAGACAATTTAATAAATTCTTGAAACATACAACACATTTTTAAAGAACATACAACGCATTATATGTGCGCAGAATGCGCCATATGTTTCAAGAATTTATTTGACTGCCTTCCCGATTGAATTTTGAGCTGAAATTTGGTATGCATAAAGAAGACTTGATGAGGAACATGCTCAAAATAATTCATCAAAAAATTCCACCGGGAAGACTCCTGATGGTCTTGTCCGCACGAGGCTTATCTTCAGAAGCTCCTGATATGAGCTGCCCTCATCTTTACAATCTGCATAAGATAAAATTCAACAAAAAGGGTTACTCCTGATCCGATGCATCATCAAGACATCAACGTCTATAGATTCAACGGTTTACATTGGGATCTTAATCTTTAAGTTTATTAGCATACATAAATTAATGTTTGAGCATACTAGAAATTTTAAATGATTTATTTGATTTTTTCGATACTCATTGCGTAACTTTTGTACTTTATGCTCATTTGATATTAGTGTAATGGTCTTTTTAAAATATCATATTTATGCATATTGGTGTAATGCTCATTCTAAAATTTCCATTGCTCATTTCGTAAGTTATGTATGCTCATCAGCTCATATAATATTTGAGCATAATAGATTTTAACAATTTGAATTGATTTTTGTTATGTGACTTGATGATGGTATTTTAAATAGTTATTTTTCTGACATTTACTCTTATTTTTACTAGGATCGATCTAAAAAGAGTTTTTTTCACCATACATGGAGGATCCCTTCTCGAGTGTTGTTTGAAATGGTCGATAATGAGAGTGATTCAAATGGCTAATTCTAAACTTAAGATCTTCTACATATGAGATGTCTTGAGTTCAAGTCAGGACTCAGGACGAAGATAAATTTGAGAATGTTTCCTCAAACAACCATCATTTAACCTCTTGAGCAGTTGAGCTAGCTCGAATAATGGTGCAATCATTATTTATACACAGTGTTGTACAGATATTAATAGAATTAACCTGGCCAAATGAGGATAGATGAAGTTCTAAAAAGAAAGAAAAGAAAATGAAACGCAATCTGTTCAAACCAACAAAACAATCAATCAATACCATAACTAAGAATCCCTATAGTGTATTAGTGTTTGCTTTCACAGTTTTACTTAAAGCCTCAACACTAAGATTTGAATTCCATAATTGTTGATCTTAGATTATGTGCTTATATTATCTGGAAATGGAACAACAGCTTCAAAAGCTTCCACTAGCATTGCCACCCTTCTCTTCCTGGCAGGAGTGAGTGCAGTCACAATATGCTGCACTGCATAATCAAGCATCCACTGTTGGGCCTTGTTCCTCTCATTCATTATCTGATGCCTTAAGTCAACTCTTTCTGGTTCTGGATTAGGCATCAGTGACAGATGTTGTGGTTCCTGGAATTTGATTTTCCTAGCATTTTCCAGGGCCATGATTGATCTCTTTAGGATAAGAAGCTTTTTCAGCTTACCCCACTTATTGGATTTCTGCAGTTCAGGCTTTGCTACAACTGCTTCTTCTTTCTTAAATAATGATGGTTCTCTGATCTCTTTATTTTCAGTGAGATTATCAGTTCCCGATTCTTTTCCTTTGGCTACTAACTCATTGTCTTCCAGACTCGTCTCTCCCAAACTCAAATGAGTTTGATCCGGCTTTGAGTCAAAGGTATCATCTTGAATTTGTGTTATGAGGATCTCGTTCACTGCCTCTCTGACGAGTTTGATGGCGTCGTCTCTGTTAAAGCTTCTTTTCTGGCAGCTTGAATCAAGACCATGATTTTCTTCATCACAAGGAAGTTTGGATTTTGCTTCTCCCAAAGTGAGGCTCCCTTCGGATTCATCATCTGTTTCATCAAGCAGCGCACTTTTAGTGTTTGACGCAATGCCTGACAGAACATGTTGAGACACCATATGCCACATGGCAATGTAATTTTGGTTTCCCATCTGTGCTTTGCCTGTACCATCATGTGCTTTGCCTGCACCATCATTAGTGGGATATCCTCCATGGAACTCATCAAGCTGTTGTACAGACTGTGTTGGTACAGACTCTGTAGATGCTTCCTTATTGAGGTTCTCAGCCTTGCAAATGGCATCATCTGCTTCTCCATCACTTTCGAGCTTGGGAAATGCGGATTGAATATTCTGATCTCCTTGGAGAGGAACCATAGTTTCAAATGCCTTTACTAGTAGTTCCACTTTCCTTTTCTGAGTTGGGGCGAGTTCACGCATTGCTTGTTGAAGTGCATAATCAAGCATCCATTCTTCTGCCTGTTTCTTCTCCTCCACAGTTTGATGTCTCAAATGAACCTTTTCTGCTTCAAGACCAGGCTCTACCTGCAAATTCCTTGACTTCCTCTTGTTTAGTCTTCTTACTCTTTCCAATTCCTTGGTAAAGCGTTGGAGCAGGATCCATTTTTTCAGATTACTCCACTGTTTTGGCGCTTTCCTGTTAGATATATTTGGAACCTCTTCTTTTGATCCCTCTGTATGTTGACCTTCATAATTATCAGTAGCTATGGTGTTCATCACTTCTGAACCAGAAGGTGCATTGTAGTTTTCCACTGTTTTTATGTCTGCAGAACCTAATGTCAAAAAATCATAAACACACTTTATTACAGTTTACAATCAGGTACTCCCTCCATTCTAAAGGAATTGTACTTTTAGCAAAATAAAACTTTCAAATTAATGGTCCTTTTATGAATTCAATGCATTTCCTTAATCTCCCAAATATGCTTATTCACTATCCCACATCAAAGCTTGTGTGCCTTGAAAGGAACGACAGCATACCTCTTGTAGCGATAGACGGGGCAAATTGTAATATATTACATAATATGTGTACACTTTTTAAAAGTCAATTAATCTGGAATGGAGGGAATGCATAACAACAACAGTAATAGTAATAATGAGAAACATTTATCTCACCTTCACTGTGATAATTCTTTTCGACTGGTTCTTGGTCTGGTGCACTGTCACTAACCTCTGGAAGAAGAATTCTCTCTATCGCTTCTCGTACAAGTTTAACAGCAAGAACCTTTTCATCCTGATCCAAAGTGGCCGTTTCTTCTCCAAAAGAATCAGCTCTTAATCCAGAAATTTCTACGTTTCTGGATTCTGCAGCAAGAGATGAAGACATGTGTCTACGAATGAGGTTCCACATGCTCATATGTTTCTCTTTCTGACTGCCAGGTGGAAGAAGGCTCTTGTTGGAGGAATCAGAATCAAGATTTCCATCCATGTTCGTTTCTGTTAACTGTTTTAGGTTTTTCTTCAATTTTGTTGATTTTCTCACCATGCCATGCCGCTTTGATGAGGTTGATGAATCTTGAGTATGCCCATGAAGAGAACAATGGTGGTACGGACAAACTTTATAAACTTGAAGTATATCTGATTCAGATTTCCCCAGTTTCAGTGGAGGATTTCTAGGAAACTTTGAATTTCTAATGGTGGAAGAGCAAGTAGGCTTATCTGCAATTTTGACCTTAGAAAACCTGAAAGAAGGCTTCCTCAAGCTAGATGTCCTCATTAGAATCTCCAAAGATTTATGATCAGATAATCCCATGTTCTCATGGGAATGAAAACTAGCATCAAAGGTAGTAGATCCAGATATATGATGACTTTCCTTAGAAATTTCTTCCTTCCCTTTAGCCTCTACTATATCAGTTGCAGAAGATTCTGATGCTGTTTCTGTTTCATCCAATAAAGGTTTTGTCTGTTTCATGATTCTTGATCTCCCCTTTCTCCTAAATGACTTCGTGCTTCGGAAATTATTCATCTTGTTGGTTTTGTTCTCCAGGTTCACTGATCGTGAATCCGAACAATCCACGGGATTTGTTTCGTCTAAAACCTTTCCCTGGTGATCAAGAGTTGCAGACTGTAGAAAAGTAAACTAGAGTGTTTGATTCTTGATAAACTAGAATAAAATAAAGTCAAAGATGCTGCTCCATGTTTTTTAATCTGTAGGATTTGGCCTATCTTTCATATAGTTATTGATATTTTTATCTTAAGAAAGCAAAGATATAATAATTAAAATAATAATAATAATAAGGATTTTAATAAGTAAGGAATAAATAAATAAATAAATCTAATAAACAGTCCATTAATAAAATTTAATATATTAGTTGAGGCAGATCACCTGAACATTGTATGTGTTGATGTCATGACAGGATGATGGTGAGCTGGCCATGATGAAGTCTGGCACTTGTTGTAAAGGGCTTTGTTCATCTGGAGTTGAGCAACCACTTGAGCTCAGGGACGGATCCAGGATTCTGTGTCAAGGGGGGCGAAATTTTTCGTTAGTGTAGGGGGTGAATTTTTTTTGTTAGTGTAGCGGGGTGAAATTTTTTTCCCTAGTATAGCGGGGCGAAATTTTTTCGCTACTGTAGGGCTATGCGGCTATTTTTATTCAAAAAATGACATTAATACATGCACATCCCGAACGACATTTAAATCTATTACATTCTAAGTTTAGACGATGACAAAGACATCAACCAATACATTTTCAATAACTTCTACATTGTTTAACCTCATGAATCGGTTATTGAATTGTAATTTTTGTCCACCAAGGAGAGTGTTCGTGAGTCATGACTCATGAGAAGTTTTCTTAATATTACAATAGTAGTATACTAGTATGTATGGGATTGTTATTTTTAGAATAATATGCACCACATACACACACACACACATATATGGTGCATATTATATTTTAATATTTTTATTAATTCTATAATAATTTAGAGTTTATTATCCATGCAATAAATTATTTTTAGAAAGCAAGAAGTAAATGAATTATGTAATCTAATGTCTATAAATATTTATATTTTGGATTCATTTCACGTGATCTAAAAATTGTGTAATTAGTGTGTCTGGTATTTAATATTGTTTGATATATGTTTTATGAAATCCAGTACTTGTTATCTAATAAAGATAATTAAACATTACAAAACTAGGAATTCTTATATAATAAGTATCCTAAATCATAAATAACGAGTTACTCTATTGTTTATTTGTTTAAGTTATGTAAATTATTTTAGATGTTTCTTCTTTTAAATCTCCAATTAAGTATTACATTATATAAGACTATATATATTAATTTTGAAAATTAAAAACTAAGGGGGGCGAATCTAATTAAATTATGAAAGTTTTATGAAAATATTACATATATGGTAAAAAAAAATTGAATGTCCAAGGGGGGCGGTCGCCCCCCCCGCGCCCCCCCCCTAAATCCATCCCTGCTTGAGCTGGATGGATCGGTATAACCACAACAGAATCGTGATTTTAATAGTGATTGCCTCGGCTTCGAAGATGATGGCTTGTTAGAGCCGATAACTCTCGGGAACCTGCGGGTTTTTGATCTTTGCTTCCATTTCTTCTTGAACACTTCTCTTTTGGAAAGGGTGATGGATTCATTATCGGCCATCTTTCTCTTATATTCTGAACTCCTTTTACTATTTTATTTAATATAGTAGATAGTAGATGGGGATGGTTTTATATCTGGGAATTGTCATACAGTTTTTATTTGTTATCCACTTTTCATAATTCACATTTATTATGAAAAAGTATAGAGTGCAAAGGTGGTTGCGGCCTGCTGGAAAGAAGTAATAGACTTTTCTTGGACAAATCTGGTGTCTTGAGTCTCTTGACAGTGGCTTTGGTGGGGCAGTCAACTCAAGAGGATCATTCTATGCAGCAGCACGCACAAAATGGGAATCCAAACTCTTACATTTCAGACTAATTTAGCTCAAAAACATTTCAAGATTATCAAATTTGAAACTTTAATTTTGAATAAAGTTATCCAACTCCTCTTGTTTACAGCTTCTAAATTTGATAGAAAAAACTGCATAGTCAAGGAAACTAGACAGAGGTAAAAAAACAATAATTTTTTTATTACATTATAATAAAACATCTATATCGTTTACATTGTAAAAAAGAAACCATTTGTATCATATTGGGTTGTAGCAAGATTTTTATATGATGTAGTCTAAAATTCAATATCGTAGAGTAACTTACGGTTGCGTTATGTTCCAAATTTAAAGCATTGTAATAAATGAATAAATAAATAAATGGCTTAATGACGCTACATTAATGCGGGGAGTTCATGCTAGCTAATAATGAATGGCGTTTGATTTAAATTATGGGTATGTTTGGCACAATTAGCTAAAAAGATACTTTTGTAAACTTTTTAGTAACTGTTAACTTTTAGATTGAAAAGATCTTAAAAGAAAAAAAGTGTTAGCTGTTTGGTAAAAAACTGACTGTTTGATTTAATTTGGTTTCGTATACAAGTTGTTAGTAGGGGTGAGTTCGGTTCTTGCGGTTCGGTTTTGACCTAAAACCAAATATAGAATCAAAGTAAAAAGTTCGGTTCGGTTTCGGTTCGGTTTTACACTCCAAAACTTGGAATCACGGTTTGATTGGTTCGGTTTGTTTCGGTTCGGTTTCGGTTTTTTCGGTTTTTTACCAAAAAATTATCACTTGATTCAAAATTGATATAATACTTAGAGGGATCAAACATATTACATAAAGAATGAAAGCACAATACAACGACAAATAAAATAAAAATGAGAAGAGATAAATATGTCTTGAATTATATGAGTATGCGAGATAGATAAAACTGTATATATTATAGATTTAATTTGTTTGTGAGTAGTTCGAAAAAAGTTCATGAATATATACATTCTATACTTCTATGTGATATAGTTAAGTTGAATATTTATTGTTTTATCAATATAAATCTTTAAGTTATCGAAAAAAAGTTAATTACTACTAATAACTAGTAAACACATATTATCATCATTCAATATAGCTACATTATTACAGACAATGAATGTGTAAATGAATTTATAAACTAAATTAAATTAAACATAACACAAACATTATTTCTCTAACAGAAGAAAACCGAAGACTATTGATGATATTAAGATTAATTAGAAGTAATGCTTAACAATTAAATTATAAATTTCATATTTTAAATAGTTCGGTTTGTTCGGTTCGGTTCGGTTTTGAAGGGTAAAAACCAAAACTGAACCGAACAACTTCGGTTCGGTTCGGTTTTTTACATTCGGTTTCGGTTTTATAGCGGTTCGGTTTTATTTGGTTGCGGTTCGATTTAATTTGATTCGGTTTTCGGTTTTCGGTTTTTCGGACCCAGCCCTAGTTGTTAGGCTAATTAATACTAAAAGTCACGGGCTTATCCCAGATGCTACTCCCTGTAACATCTGAAAAAGGATTTTTTATTTTTATAAAACCTCTTAAAAATTGACATGTCAAACATACAATTAGAAGCTTTTAGAGACTTTTTAAATAGTGCAAAAGCTAGAAGACATGGACTGATGCATGTCAAACATAACTTATACTTGGTGTAAAATAATAATTTTGTTTTCAATTGTATTGAAATTTTATGCTCTAACTTGATTACATGTGGTTTGTGTAAGTGTGATATGATCTAATCTGGTCTAGTAAATGTCTATTTTTACATATATTAAAGTATGATCTGATGTGCATTGTTTAAGTCTAAAACCGGTCCAATTAATAACATCTCAACTTTTGATGCTATGTTTTTAATTATGTTTGAGTTCCATAATTTTCATCTATATCATTCACAATATCTTGAAGACAAATCGTGTAGGTGAAGTGTTTGATTTCACTTTTCATGGTGCTATTTAACACAACTCACACGAATCTACTAACCAAGTTATTAGAACAATTTTTAGGGATGATCCAGTAAATACAGTTGAAACTTGAAAGAACATTTTGAATACACATGGGCCAATTTGGTGTGGGCCAACTTTTTAATGTTCCCAAAACTTTTGGGCACAAAAATTGTCATTATTCCTTTCTTTCCCATGAGTCTCATGTGCGATTACTTCTCTGCAAGACATGTCTTCTTCTACGACTACTGTAGCGGTTCCCTTGCCAGCGCCTCCCTAATCCAAGCGACGCAACCAGCCTTCTCCACGCCGACCTCACCTATCTCGACGATTCCGAGCTCGTCGTTTCATTCTGCTAGCTCATACCCTCCGTTTGCTTCACTGCCGCCTACTTTTCCTTGGTAGACCGCGATAACCCCTCCCTCTCCGTTGGTTTTTCCTCCTCCCACACTCCCACAACAATTGGGCCGGGTCTCTGGTCTTCGGAACCCACTGTCCAGTCATCACATGGCCGCTGAAACCCGCTATCTTTGGTTCTCCAGTGGCAGACATGGCTAACCCAGAGCATTTGACAGATGCGGCTGTCCACCTTGGTGCGGCGGTCCTTACTGGAAGCCCTCTTAGCAAGAGGTAGTGGGAAATGGCGCGGCGGTCCTTACTGGAAGCCCTCTTGGCAAGAGGTAGGGTTGTATACGAACCGAATCGAGTCGAATAATAGGATTTTGTATTTGTATTTGTTTAATTTTTTCGAATACGAATTCGAATTCAAATATAAAACGAATATTTATTTCGATTTGTATTTGTATTTGTTTAACAATACGAATAGTTAACAAATCTTATACGAATATCAAATAGATTTGAGTATAAGTTAAATATTAGTCAAATATCACTTAAAATTGAATTTTCTTATATTTTTTATGTTGTAAATGTGCGCTATGATTTAATACGTAGTATGTGTTTTTAGAATTTAAATTCAATGGATCAATGCATTTTAAGATTGTGCACGATATACTAAAGTGAATCAATTTTATGATTAATAAATATAAATCTATTTCAAACTTTTTGAAATAAACACTAACACACATATTAGAAATTACACTTATAATGTGTGAAATAAGTTGATAATTGTATATATCAAAGTCAAACGACTCTAATTTTATTCTGCGAATCGAATACATAATTATTTGTATTGTATTTAAAAGACATTTAATTTGAACCAAAAATCCGATTTGTATTCGTATTTATACTCTGATTTATTACAAATGGACTTAGAATCTATATGCGTAAATGTATATATGAGCTACACTTTAGGGTATTGCTATCTTTTAAAAGTTATTATAGTGTTATTACTATTATTATTACTATTATTATTATTATTATTATTATTATTATTATTATTATTATTATTATTATTATTATTATTATTATTATTATTATTATTATTATTATTATTATTATTATTATTATTATTATTATTATTATTATTATTATTATTATTATTATTATTATTATTATTATTATTATTATTATTATTATTATTATTATTATTATTATTATTATTATTATTATTATTATTATTATTATTATTATTATTATTATTATTATTATTATTATTATTATTATTATTATTATTATTATTATTATTATTATTATTATTATTATTATTATTATTATTATTATTATTATTATTATTATTATTATTATTATTATTATTATTATTATTATTATTATTATTATTATTATTATTATTATTATTATTATTATTATTATTATTATTATTATTATTATTATTATTATTATTATTATTATTATTATTATTATTATTATTATTATTATTATTATTATTATTATTATTATTATTATTATTATTATTATTATTATTATTATTATTATTATTATTATTATTATTATTATTATTATTATTATTATTATTATTATTATTATTATTATTATTATTATTATTATTATTATTATTATTATTATTATTATTATTATTATTATTATTATTATTATTATTATTATTATTATTATTATTATTATTATTATTATTATTATTATTATTATTATTATTATTATTATTATTATTATTATTATTATTATTATTATTATTATTATTATTATTATTATTATTATTATTATTATTATTATTATTATTATTATTATTATTATTATTATTATTATTATTATTATTATTATTATTATTATTATTATTATTATTATTATTATTATTATTATTATTATTATTATTATTATTATTATTATTATTATTATTATTATTATTATTATTATTATTATTATTATTATTATTATTATTATTATTATTATTATTATTATTATTATTATTATTATTATTATTATTATTATTATTATTATTATTATTATTATTATTATTATTATTATTATTATTATTATTATTATTATTATTATTATTATTATTATTATTATTATTATTATTATTATTATTATTATTATTATTATTATTATTATTATTATTATTATTATTATTATTATTATTATTATTATTATTATTATTATTATTATTATTATTATTATTATTATTATCACTATTATTAATCAAATATATTTGATTAATATTCGAATCGAATACACTGAAATTCTTATTTGTATTTGATAACAAATCGAATCAAATTTAATATTCATATTTGTATTTATATTTGAATTTTCCGAATTCGAATCGTCTTATACGAATTCGAATCGCGAATCGAGCACAAATTATTTGATTCGTTTACAACCCTAGACATAGGGAGTAAAAGTGTAACTAGTAGACAACTGGTGTAGCCAAGTAGGTTACACCTTAGATTTGATTTTTTTTAAAATGTAGTTCCTCACATATAGGGCTGGCTGATTCCGATGATGAAGGATGTTTTCGTTTGAACTATTTTCAGTCCCAAATTAGATCGGATCAGAAAAACTGTTTAGACCAGACTTATGTAGTTATAAAATACACAGAGATCAGACTTCCGTAATTATACAATACACATAGACTAGACATTTACCAGAGCAGACCAAACCAATTCAGACCAGACCAGACCAGATCAATTCATATCAGACAAGACCAACAAATTCCAGTGCAAAAGAAAACATCTAAAAACCTAATATGGAAGCCGACTCGAAACCATTCGTTTTAACTTTAAATGGGAATGAAATTGTAGCGTCTTTATTGGGGGTGTCGAGTCATCATACATGTTACATCCATTGTACCTATCCCTTATGGAAATCGAACCCGTATCTTTGATATATCTCTCTATTACATGTTAGTTGTGAACGAACTTGTGGATTGCAAGAATGAGTATTATTTTTTATTTTTATTTTTTTTGGGGGGGGGGGGGTAAAGATTGAGTGGTCAAATATATGATACTGAAAAAGGGGTAGTGTTCCTTCCTTGGATGTAGACTGTTCTAGTTCCCTTCAAGTAAAAACAATACGCATCAGTTCTCCACTATTGGCAGCAAAGAGCCTCTTCTTTCATAAGGTTAATAGTCTTTATCGTAGTGCTAACTTGTGCTCCTCTTTCATGTGCCTTATTTGCATTTCCTTATTTGTAACCTCTAATGTTCTTTTTATTGTAGCCTTTTTTAGTTGATATGGGAGAGCGTGATCAACGACATGTAACTATGTGTATAAGTGCATCGGGTAAATGCAACAAATACGAACAATTTTTGTTTGTTTTCTGTTTTATACTTTTGTTCTAGATGAGAAAGACCATTTCACGTTTTTACCTTTGTCAGTTGCAATGATTTTAATTTAACAAGTTACTCTCCCTCTCTCTCAAAACTCTAATTTGTGTAGAGGGCAATAACATGCTCTGCATCGTGTTTTCTTTCATGTTTGTATCATGGCTCTGCATCGTGTTTTCTTTCATGTTTGTATCATGGAACCCCTGAATTTTATGTATGGCATTACTATATCGACAACCACACCCACTTTATTGCTTGATGTGCTTATGGCTGCTGTTAAATTTGAGGTTGCTTCGTGTGTGACATACTGTACCCGACTAATGCTAGATTTACCCATGCCTTGTGAATTAGCTTTGCTCGTTTTGGACCTCTCTTGTACTCTTTTAATATCTAATAATGATGTTGAACTCCTGACTCATGTATCAAAGAAGTTTCTCTTTACCTGTTTCATGGATATTTCCAAGTAAGCATCTCCCTGACAAAAGGAAATGCTTTATTTTAATGTTTTATTATTGAAGCCGAATTCACCTGAAATTTAAGAAAAGAAATGAAAAGGCTTCTGTAGTTTGACAATATTTAATTAATTGCTTAAAGAAAACATTCAAATATACAACACATATAGGGTTTTTATCCCTCTACTGTGACACCGCACCCGGATGTACTTGAATTTGGAATTTGATATGTATTTGAATTTTCCAGCGAATAAAATTTGTATAACTGATTGGTATATTTAATTAATGCGCGATTAATTGAATTATATATATAGGGTCCCTAATAACGAGAATGGGCTACCAAATATTTAGTTGGGTCATCGTGATAATTATAGAAGCCCAATAAAGTGCCAGCTAAAGTTGATAAAAATATTTGGACAACCCGAGCGCTATTTTGACCCAACCGGCCAGAAATAGCAGGAATAATTGGGAGAGATTTTCTACACCCACTTGGGGTATTTTACACACCCTTAAGCCTCAAATAATGGGGAGGGGGACAACCCAAAATGGGTTGGTGCGGACAAGAGGATGGGAAGCCTCTTAGAGACAAAAACCCACACCCCAAGTCTCACTCATGCATAATACATGTGCTTGATTGAGTGAAGTACTTCCCTCCTATCCTTTGCACTCATTTTCGTCCAACCAAGAGGAGGAGCTCCAGAGAAGTCTTCCCTCAAGAACTCATAGCTTGAAGAAGCACAAGGAAGAAGAAACCCAAGAGAAAAGAGCTAAGTTGAGGTAAGAATCCAACTAGTATGAATTAACTAGTATTATTATTGTATGATTTTTAAGAAATCATATGATGGATTTAACTTGAAGTTCTACACGTTTAAAAGTGTAGAATATTGATATAAAGTGGTAGTAATTAACTTAGAAGAGTTGGTGAATCGATAGGAGTCGAAAACGCCGGAAACCGCCACTTAAAGGGAGCTGTTTGTAGCTGCAGACCACGAAAGCCGCCCAGCTTTTGCAAAAGCCGTCCGGCTTTTGTCTGCTGTCCAGATTTTCCACTTCTAATCGGTTTAGAACGGGGATTGATCGAAGGGCTTAACAAAGGCAACTATTTCAGCACTTCATAAGGTGAGGATGACTGACTATATTGCTTATAATCCTTGGGTTAATTTCATAAGATTACCTAAGGTAATTAAATATGATTTTCATAGATTAAATGATTAATAATGCCTAAATGAAAATATTATTGTTTATGAATAGAAGATGCATGATATACAAATTTATGAGTAAATGGTGTATGGTTATGCATTATAAATATGATGGTATGATAATTGTATCAACCATGAATATTTGTGATAAAATATACTTTTACTTCATGTATGGAAATCATGAATGGATAAAAGTGATATTTTTGATATTGAGATTTAATTATATTTGGATTGGAAAATCAATTGAAATAAACCTTATGACTATGGATTAGGAACTTGGTTGTTCTAAGATTATTTGACGTGTATTGAATTACTAGTGATCGGGCTGAACTTGCAAGTGTACAAGTGCCGATATAGTAAT